TCACCTCAATCTAAGGCGGTGGCTGGGGATGAACAGAAATGCCCGCCCCAATCTACCGCTTGGAATGAGGCTGGACATAGCAGATCACCTCGTGATGTAATACAAAGGCCAAGACGTAAGCGCATTTGCGGCGCTCAGGCCAAAAGAAGAAAAAGAGCGAAAGAGGCAGCAACTATAAGTGCACCCTCCTCCTCCCCCACTCCACCTCCAACAGCAAGGGCACTTTCTGCGGCGGGCGCCAAAAGTTCCGCCTTGAATAAAGGCAAGGAACCGGTTGCCTCTGCAGGAAAGCTCCCCTACTTGTGCACTTCCATGGAGGGAACCCCAAGAAAATTGAAGAAGCCGCGCAACGATAGTAATGTCGCTGCATCTTCCAAAACCTTCGCGGAGGCCGCCGTGAGACACCTCAAGGTTGCCAAGGAGAGTGTGTGTTCGGCGAGTCTTGGCCTACACCTGCCAATGTAAAGAAGATGTCTCCTAGTGACCTGTCCACCTTCCTGGAAAGGACAGGATGGACGATGACCTAGGAGGACAACTTCTCGGGCGGATGTACAATGGGTCACATTCAACAGATATAGTGTGGGGAGTGGTCATTGGTTCATAATGCTGGCACGTCTTCCCGAATGTATCAAGACGTTGGAGATGGGGACCCGACTAGCGCATCCTTCAGGAAAATAATAATAATCATAATGATAATATATATCTGCTATCAAAAATCTAATACAAAGTTTCTAACATACAAGTCCTGAAAAATGTTGTCTAAATGAATTGCTCGAATTGATAATGAACAAGATAGGCCCTAGTACCGTTCCTTGTGAGATGCCACATTGTACTGTCATATATTCACTTGTATCATCCTTAAGTAAAACACATTGTATTCGTAGCTTAGTATCAGCTCTAATGCTTTTTCTCTTTCGATTCAATCTTTCGATTTCAGAAGTGGGGAAAGCAACTGTATCCTGTGTGGATCTTGATTCTCTGAATCCAAACTGTATGTTACTAAGAATTTTGTATTTTTCCAAGTAGCCCACTATTCTTTTTTTCAACAAAATTTTGCTTTCACAGATTTAACTCTAAAGATTCATGACCTGCTGTTCTCGCAAAAACTATTCAGAAAATATCTATATTAACAAGTCTGGCTGAATGACGAATTGAGGAAGTCAACAGCTTTGGTTATTTTATTCCTACGAAATCAACAGATTCACTATATTAGTATAATGAAAATCAATCAAATCTTGATTGTCACCTATTTTCAGCCATTTTAGTTTTAATGATTCCGTTGAACACCGCCGGTTTCAAATTTTATGCGTCACGTAGAATATCAGTAGTAGTAATGAGTGCAGTGCTCAAAACTCAAAGTTACAAATATACTAATAATATCAACATCTCATATCTCAATTCGACATTTCCTTCAATTGCAATCAGTACTGACAAGTTTTTGTAGCTCTGTATTGAAATTGAACAGGTTGCAAATGGTTAAAGTGTTTTAACCACAGTTGCAGACCTGCACATCTTGTGGTAGTAACAGTTAGCAGAACGTTTGCGAATTTCATTGCAAAAATAAAGCATTAAACTATCTTTTAACATTCAAACAGTGATTCATTTATCGCAGACTTCTGCAACATGTAATGGTTTGTTTTTATTCATGCCCAAACATCTGTTTACACATTCAAGACTTTTGAAATTAATGTACTGGCGTACTACTAGAACGAATTGAAATTTTTTCTGAGCCTCAAACTTGCATACTCTAAATGAAACAATATCTATAAGGGGATAAGAAGACTAATCATTCGTTTTGCTGAATAATACTACTCAACCTATCAGTCTAATTTTCTTGAAACAACACGTTCACGCTCTCCCTTTCCTGCATACCACTGCAATATTATTGTGTTCTAAAAATAGAAGGTGGTTGCGTAATTGCATTTGCATGGAATTCATTTCATTCATGCAACCATCAATGTCACCTACTTTATTGAACATGAATGAAACAGCCGAAGAACCGCAGAATGGAAAGGCTGGAATTGCTGCAATCTTTACCGCTGCGCTGTTAGAATGGTAGTATTTTTTTCTGCTGCTGGAAGTAGTTAGCCCTCGAATGACCAACCTTCATCACGTCAAGGTTACTAATTTTTTCCTAATTACTAAACATACTCTCACATCTATGTAATTTAGAAGGGGATAAAATCAAAACGACATCTGAAGATACTAACATTTTAATGATTGTGAATTTCAAGTAAAAAAGTAATAAAAAACTTTGAAGCATTTTGATGAAATTTTCTGAAACGGCAACAAGTTAGTCATTCACTAATTTTCAATAATTTCTAAAGTTTTATTTCTGGTACTACCTCTGAACGCATCAAGAGAAACGGAATAAAATTGACATGAAATAGTATAATTCAGATTTGAAGAACAAAGAATCGCTTGATAGTCTATCAATTAAAATATTTGAGAGTTTCCTCTAACATCACTTATAATATTATCCGTATTTGGTACCGAAGAGCCGAGTGTCTTACGGCGAAACATCGGATCTCTAAAAAGGCAATCAGTTTGCAAAAAACTATTTTCATGCGAAAAAGTAACTTTCAGACACAAACTGAAAGAAAAAGCCGTCTGGAAACAAGAACTCCCATTTATATGGGAGTTGTTGTTTATACATCGAATTACACGAAAGAAGAAATACATCATACAAAAAAGTGAGAATCTCCTAAATATGGAGAAGTACAAAGCCAAAATCTTCCCTCTCCCAAAAATACATCACTTTCAATTTAACAAGATTCCTATGGGTGAGAATAAATCAAATAAGCCAATGAATGTCATCAAGTCCTGTCATCGATGACACGAGTTGATTTAATTCATTTGTGGCATAAAGTCGTTATCCAGATTGGTGCTGAAGAGGCAATAAGGCAAGTGTCTTATTCCGAAACATCGATGTCTGCCATTGAGAATGATAGTGTTCCATCTAAGTGAAATTTCACCTCTTTCACATACTGTATTGTGTAATAATCCTTTGAATGATATCTGATTCAATTCCAAAACGCATGTTTGGAGTAGAAATTGAATAGGAATGTATTTTGTATAGTTCAATGTTCATATAAAAGTAGATATTTCAAAAGTAGGGTATGAATGAAGCACCGTCAATGAAGAAACCCGCACCTACAGTTACATGAACACCTGTACATAATCCACCAATATTCGCATTTGAATTGAATTGAATATAAGATGCTTTCGATGCAAAGAACTCCAGAATAGGCACTCAGGTGTAAACAATACATTAAAACCTTTTCGGCCTACCTATTTATTATTCATTACATAAATCTCACAACTACTTATAACAATTATAGCTTAACACCTCAAATTTTTAAAAACTGATAGCTTGAAAACAATACTGCCGAGTTATTATTCAAATCCCATTGGACCAATGAAATCGTCATTACACTGATAATTACATTATCAGTTCTGTTGTCATAGAGATCATTCAACTTACGAAGGTTTTCACGAAATGTCAATAGTCCAGTCAGTTATCGCGCCCAATTCTTCGACTTAGATGATAGCTCAAGGAACCCCGGAAATTAGTTTTTTTGTAGATCGATATTATTCGAGTTATTCGCAATTTTGAACATTTGCGATTTTTCATGGTGAAAATGCTTGTTTTGGACAGGATCGCATTGAAAATTCTCTTTTTATGAAAAAAAAATTAAGCTGATACAAAATATTTTTTTATTGATTTATTCCGTATTTGGTACCGAAGA